CCCCCCCCCCCCAAATGGAAGTTAAAAGGTACTTAAATTATGGGTTCCAGAAATTACGGGAAGAGGGTACCACCAGAGAAAGAGAAAGGCCAAGTTGGAATATTTTTGTGATCTGCATCATGGTTCTAAAAAGAAGGGATCATTTGCGACCTGTGTTTGAAAACCGAATTGTGGCCAAAGAATTAAACCAGATGATGGATCCTTTTAAATTCAAATTGTCTTCTGAACATCCAGCCTGGGCATCTGAGAGCAGCCAGTCTACTTCCCCAAAGTGGATTTTGTTTTTATTTTTAATGTTTGCCTCTGTTTCCAAGAACAAAACAGTGATTTGGAGGTAGTCTATTCTTGGATTTGTTTTGATTAGAATTTACTCAAACTCAGTCACTCTCCAGGATATGAAACCCAAATAAGATGTATACCTTTTAAACTCAAACCCTCTCCCTTCCAGATTCAATCCTTCGCCACTTACTTCATGATGATGGTGGCCACAGACTCCCCAAGAAAAGATCACCCAAAAATAAAATCATCTATGACAGTAATCAACTTTTATGCCTAACCTCAGCTCCCCAACTAGAAAGCATTTCCTGGGTTCTGTGCTGAGCCTTTTGGTCTTTGGTAAGATTCGTGGCAAATGGATGAATTAACAGACTGCTGTGACAGACCACAAAAGCAGCAGCCTGTGGAAAAACCATTAGAAAATCAGTGGCAGGTCCAGTAAATAATGCCTCCTGCTCTGGAGTAATGCTGATTCAGTACAGTGACTCTCAAGTTCCCAGTGTCCCTCTGACATGAGCCCTCCTGCTGTCTGTGGGACTACCAGAGGGCTTGTCCTCTGTCTGCCTGGAAGCTGGCTTGGGTACGTGGCCGTCTTGCTTCTCTCTTTGTCTGGTTCTAGTGTGTGTCTGCTGGCTCTGCTCTGCCTTGTTTCCCTGGCTGTAAACTAACTCCACCCAGTCTGGTGTGGGGTGTTTCTGGGAAGCACGTGACTTCTGAGAAAGGGCAAAGGAAAGGAGTGAAACCAAAACTGTCAGCTCTGTCTGTGGGGATCTGCAGTCCTTGTCTGGATGAGATGGCCTCCTGAGTCTGCTCCCCTTTGACTGGGGACAGTTGCAGGCACTCAGCCTCAAAGTTGAGGTCCTTGAATGTTTGCTAATTGAATGTGCATGATCCTTGCTTAAATATTCGTCATTCACCCATATACATTCACATGCGTGTACATGCACAACATGCGTGTGTGATATTTGAGCTGTGGGTGAAAACTAGATGTGGGGGATGCATATGCCTTTTTCCGGGTGGTTAGGGTTCGGTTTTTGCTTCATTTAATTCCAGAGCCTTAACCTCGGCAAGCATGAGAATTTTCATCTGGCAGAGAAATGTCCAGTGTTTAATGCATTTGGTCTCTGAGGCATGCATGCCAGCCTTCTTTGATGTTTACTTGGTTTTTAAAAACCCACTTTGTTCTCTTGTTTTCCTCTCTATTTCAGCCTAGTAACAGAAGTCCAGGCGAGACTACACCACTGCTCATCACCCCGCAGCGTGATCCCTGCTCTTAGGTGCTGGGCAGAGGGGAGGGGTGGTCAGGGTAAGGATGGAGAGTCAAGAGTGGTGAGGGGCTCAAGAAAAACATTGGAAGAGCAAGTGTTGTAATGAGGCCATTTCTTTTACATATAGTAGGCGTCTTAACAAGGATGAGTAATTAATTTTTTAAAGACTGATTGGGGGGATATAAGTAGAAATAGGGAAGTGCAGTACTATTTCTAAGGAATCAAGTTTTCATTTACTCTGAACTGGTAACAATATTTTTTAAAGCGAGTGCCCTGAGTCCTCGGCTTTTATCTCAGAGCCTCGTGGGTGGCCAGCCCAGGAATGTAGGAAATCAAACTGTTGTTCCATCTGCCCTATAGCTTGGAACAGGGAGGGTTTAACTACTGACGCTGGTTCCGCACACCCTGAGGTAAAAAATCATCTCCACATTTGAAAGAGAATG